TACTTTAAAACTGATTTTCAGAATGGCTGGACCAACTCATAGCTGCACCAGCACTTTATTATAGGGCCTGTTTTCCCACAGTCTCTCCAACAACTGTCATTTTACCACTCAGTTCATAAAGGGTAATTAGTTGTTCTCTTAACTATCTATCTTACTTTCTTCAGTATCAATGCCCTATTACTCATGGTTATGAAGAAGAACATCAGAGTTGGTTTCATTTGCATTTTCCTAATTATTAGTCATTTTGAGCACTGTTCCATATATTTGTGGATGGTTTAGATTTCTCCCTGTGAAAACTACTTGTTTATATTCTTTGCCCATTTATCAGTGGGGAAATTCTTCTTGTGTTTGTAAATGAGAATTCGTTCTCTATATACCTCACATATCAAAGAAACTTTCTGCAAAGATTTTTTTTCCCATTTACCAGCTTTTTTCTAGTTTTAGCTGCATTAATTTTCTTTTTACAAAAAAATTTGAATTAATTTAAATGAATGTAATTTGAATGACCATTTTTACCTACTGGCATCCTCTCTATCTCTTTTTTGTTCCTGAACTCTTCCTCTATCTATAGATGAGGAAGGTAATTTCTCAATTCTGGAATTGGTTTATATTATCTCCCTTCATTTCTAAGTCATGTATTCATTTGGAGCTTATCTTGGTTTATGTTGGGAGATGTTGATCTTTACCTAATTTCTTCCATACTGCTTTTCAGTGTTCTCAGAGGCTTTTGGCAAAAAGTAAGTTCCTACCCACAGTAGTTATGACCTTTGGATTTCTAGAACACTAAATGACTAGGTTCATTGGCTTCTCATACTATTCTCAGATTGCCTCTCCTTTATCACAAACTCTAGGACTGAGTGGTCACTTCCTCCCAGCACTCCCATCATTTCCATTCTAGCAACCAGTTCCTTCCTGTTACTGAGAATCTGATCCAGAATCGTCTCAGTCAATGAACATACATTAAACACTTTCTATGTGCTAGGCATGTTGCTAAGTAAGTGCTGAAGAGACAAAGAAAGGCAAAAGACAGTCTCTGCTCTGAAGGAGCTCAGTCTAATGGGGAAGATAACATGCAAATAACTATGGAGAAACAACCCCTGGACAGACTAAAGTGGAAGTAATAAGCAGTGGGAAGGGGTGACAATTAGGGTGGGGGGAATCAAGAAAGGCTTTCTGTAGAAGGTGGCATTTGATCTGGGATGTGAAGGATGCCAGGGAAGCCAAGGGGTAGAGATGAAGATTGAGCATATCAGGCATGGGGTACAGCCAGTGAAAATGCTCAGAATCAGGTGATAATGCCCTTTTCCCATTGTTGGTTCCTGCACTTCACAGAGGATCAAATGATCACTAATGCAATTCAAGAAGTTATTAGCTAGAAGGCTGAGTAGAAGAAGCACCAAGTCAACCTCTCTCAACATTCCTCATTGAACCACTTTAAAATAAAGTCTCACATCAAATTCTCCACTGGCACAGCCAACAAAAGGTCAGGTTGAGACATTCTTCCAAGCCCAAAACAACTTGAGAGGCTGGAAGGTGAGATCTGTAACACAGGGGTGGAGGCTGACCCGGAGCCCATGTACAGGAAACACCAGTGGTGGGATGAGGTGGTGGACTGAAAAGGAATGCCATTTAAATCAGTTAGTATTGATGACTTTGATTTAATTTTACTTGAATTGTAGGATTGATCTCCCCTCTTCAGGAAAAGCTAGTCCTAACAACTAAGACAAACTAACAAAGGTATTTTCTTCAGTCTAGGTTACCTATAGATTTAGTGAATAGACAGATTGATAAGACTTCATCATTTAGTAGCAGAAAATTTCAAGTAAGACATATATCATTTTAGGAACAAAATAATCAAAGTATTAGAAGACTCTTTTCAAAGGCTAAGTTCCCCTTTCTGGCAATTGGGAAAGGGGGGTTGACAAAAGATTAAGTTCTTTAGATTTAGGGGATAAGCTCCCTTATTTTTCTTCAGTTAGAGCTTATGTATGAATTAAGTGCTGTAATCTTCTAAGGCTGGGTTTCACTTTTTGCCAAGTACAGGATCAGGGTGGGGGATGACTGCTAACTACAAATCACACGTTCCTCTTTCACAGTCCTAGTGGAAACTATAGGCCCCTTGAAAGGAAGCTTTCTGGTTACAAACTGCTTCAGCTGTGGGGCAAAGACTTATGGGGTAATCTCACTTTGACAGCTAAATGTTGCCAACAGTGGGAATTTTCATTAAGGAAGCCTGGGAGAAGCAAACCACTCATATGACCTGCCTTGTTCACCTGAATTATGTTCAAAACAAGTTTCCTAACATTGCTACAATTTTTTTACTCCTCTTTTCTCTTATAAAAATAAACTCTGAAATCACTCCTTTGTCACTAATTACTGAGGAATTAGTTGACCTAAGGGGAACCTGTCAATCATTACTAGGAAATCATTATTTATTTACTCAGAAAATTTGTACCTCAGAATGATTTTCTATTTATTTTTATTATATTCTTATTATATGATATTTTATTCTTATTATATTATAGTTATTTTATTAATTTTAATAGTCAGAAGCAGCAGCAGCTTTGGGAGCTCTCAAGTCAGAGACAATAAGGGGACCTAGCAATTGACTAGAAAGAGATTACGGAGACCCCCATGCTAGCTCACGACACAAGATTGGAAGCTGTTTGGACATTCCACTGCCTGTATAGACTTCTGGGTCACAATTCAAGGGCAGCAATGAGCACATTCTGGCAAGAGGGAGCAGGGACCCTGAGGAACAGTATCATTTGCAATCCCAATGGAAAAAGGGTACTGAGGGGTAAGGTCACTTCTGGTCAACAGGGAGCAGTGACCTCGTGTAGCAATATCAATTGTAGCCCTAAGGGATCAGGGTTTCTTCCTAGGTAAGGACCAGAGCACAGACCAGGAAAGCAAAGACCAAACCTCTCCCCAAATCTTATCACTTTGGACCACAGAAAACTTTCAAACCCCCAAAATTAGCTCTGAAAACATCAAAGTGAAAAGTGGGAAAAGGCCTGAAGTTTCAGACAATATGTTCCCTGACCCCCACCTCCCACCCCGCCGCAGCCTCCCACTAAACACACTTAGGCTTTAGCTGAAGTATAAAAGGCAATGGTAGAAATCATGATCTCAGACAAAGCAAAAGCTAAAACAGACCTGATTCAAAGAGATAAGCAGGGAAACTATATCTTACTAAAAGGTACCACAGACAATAATATAATATCAATACCAACCAAATATGCACCAAATGGTAGAGCATCCATCTTCTTAAAATGAAAAGTTAAATGACTAATGGAAGGAAATAGTAAAACTATACAAAGGGTGACCCCAACTTTTCCCTCTCAGGATTAGGGAAATCTATGCATAAAATAAATTAAAAAGAAGTTAAGGAGAGGAAAATTACATTAGCAAAGTTGCACATGACAGAACTCTGGAGAAAACTGAATGGCAATAAAAAGGAATATAACTTTTTCTCAGCTGTACATGGCACCTTCACAAAAAATGAACATGTATTAGTGTATAAAAACCTCATAAGCAAATGGACAAATACAGAAATATTAAATGCAACTTTTACACACCACAATGTAATATAAATTATCAAGATGTGGAAACACAGATTAAAAATTAATTGGAAACTAAATCATCAAATCCTAAAGAATGAGTGGGTTGAAGAAGAAATCATAGAATCAACCAATAATTTCATTCAAGAGAATTACAACAATGAGGCAACATGCCACAACTTGTGGGGTGCAGCCAAAGTAGTCCTTAAGGGAAATTTCTATCTCTAAATGCTTACATCAATAAAACAGAGAAGGAGCAGATCAAGGAATTGGGCATCAAATTTTTAAAAGTAGAAAAAGAACAAATAGAAAATCTCCAATTAAACATCAAAATTGAAATCCCTAAATCAAAATGTGATTAAGAAAATGTTTAAGAAATCAAACTAATAAATAAAAGTAGGTGCTGGTGTTATGAAAATACTAATAAAATATACACATCATTAGTTAGCTTGATTAACAAAAAGAAAGAAGAAAACCAAATTACCAGTTTGAAAAATGAAAGGGCAAATGCATAACCAACGAAGATGAAATGAAAGTAATGCTTAGGAGTTATTTTGCCCAGTCACATGCCAGGGAAACTGACAATCTACATGAAATGGATAAATATTTATAAAAATATAAACTGTCCATTTTAACAGAAGAGGAAATAAAATACTTAAATAATCCCACTGTAAAAGAAGACATTGAACAAGGCATAAAAGTGTTCCCTAGGAAAAAATCCCCAGGAGCAGATGAATTTGAAAGTGATTCTACCAAGCATTTAAAAAACATTTCAGCTCAATACTGTATAAACTATTTGAAACAACAGGTAAAGAAGGAGTCTTATCAAACTCCTCTTACGGCTTATATGTGGTTTTGATACCTAAATAAGACTGCAGGAATATACACACACTAATACATTCTTGGTGGAGCTGTGAAATGACACATCTGTTTTGGAAAGAAATTTGGAATAATGCAAAGAAAGTAACAAAAATGTCCAAAGTTTTTAAAACAAGGACTCTATTATACCCCAAGGAAGCCATTAATAAGAAGAAATTCCCCATATGTGCCAAAATATTTATAACAGCACTTTTTGTGACAGCTATGAATTGGAAGCAGAGTAGATGTTCATCAACTGGGGAATGGCTAAACAAGGCATGGAACACGAATGTCATGGAATACTGCTACCATGCAGTACAAAATGATGGATGTGATGAGTACAGAGAAGTATGGAAAGATCTTTGTGAATTGATTCAAAGTGAATTAAGCAGAGCCAAGAAAACAGATATATATATATATATATATATATATACACATACACACACACACAGACACGCACACACAGAGTAACTACAATAATTGAAATGGAAATAATGACACACAAAAAATTAAAAATACCTGTAACAAAATGTTAAAGATCAAGTGGAACTGAAAAGGAAACATGAGAAGACACCATCACCCTACCCTGTCCAGGAGGTAAGATGTCCACAGGTGTTACACATTTCACACCTTTTCCCAAATGCATTGATCAGTGGTGCTGGCTTTTCTTTTTCACCCTAAAACAAAAAATATAGTTTGTTACATCGCATAGCCCTTGAGGATGGGGAGAGGGAGGGACACATGCGATACCTTGATGACGTAAAAAACAGAAAATATGAATTTTTTCTTTGGTGAGGCAATTGAGGTTAAGTGACTTGCCCAGAGTCACACAGCTAGTGAGTGTTACGTGTCTGAGGTGGGATTTGAACTCAGGTCTTCCTGACTCCAGGTCCGTGCTCTATCCGCTGTGCCAACTAGCTGCCCCTTAAAAAAAATTTTTTTTTAAAGAAGTCAAGTACCTCAATGGAAACGGGAAGAAGGAGAAAAGGGGTTTAGGGTTAGTAATTATCAGTAGCAGATCTCAAACTCTGATACAGATCAGTGGTCATGAAAACAACTGTTGTTTAGTCCTGTCTGACTTCTGCTGACCCCATTTGGGGTTTTCTTGGCAAAGACATTGGAGTGGTTTGCCATTTCCTTCGCAGCCCATCTGACAGATGAGGAACTGAGGGAAACAGAGTTAAGTGACTTGGCAAGGGTCACACAGCTAGTAAGTGTCTGAGGCCAGGTTTTGATGGGGTGCTTGGGTGCTTGTGCCTGTACTTGGACCCCAATTTCTCCTTAGTCTCAGAAACCCTGTCTCTGACGACCACTCCCCAGCCCAAGGACACTGTGCTTAGCAGTTATTCATGCATGGGCCCCAGTATGACCCTTATCTCTCTCCCTGGGGCAGCTACACAAAGCTGGGTGAGAGACTGCTGGGCTGCTCAGGCCCCAGCCCTCAGATCATGTCTCTGGAAGCCTCCCAATTCCTTAGTAAGTTCCTGTCTTGTGAGAAAGCTTTCCCTTGTTGCAGAGCATTCTCTCATCAAGCAGAGAGAGAGGGGTGCCTTGCCCACCCCAAGGAGTTTTGTCCTTGGCTGGCCCAAGGAGTCTTCCTCCTGTCAGACTCCCAAGATCCATACTTCTGTCATCTCCCTCCCTGTCTGGTATACTCCCTGTACTTTCCCATCCGTAGTTCCCAAAGACACCTGTACCTTTGGATTACCTCATCAGTATCCCTGGCATTCCTTTCGCATGCCCTTTTCCATATAAACCCTAGCTCCATCCTAAGTCTCTTGCAAGTTCTTTAAGAATCCTTGCCCGCTGAAAAGCGTAACAATAAATCTTTGCCACCTTGACTTAAAAAATGCTTGAGTCTGTGAATTCATTCCAGACGACCCCGTCCTGTATTTGTCTTTGAAGGGTCTCAACCTCTCAGACCACAACAGTTTGACCTCAAGGAGATGAGTCTTCCTGATTTCGGACCCCATAGAATACCTGGCTGGCCAGAAAACAATTTGAACTTGCTAATGGAAAAGATTAGGTACGCAATATATAGAAGCAAGTAAATAAAATAAGTGTTTAATAAATCCAAAGACAGAAATTGTGGGGAAGGGGCAGGGGAGGAAATGCTATTTGATTAAAAAAACCAGATGGGATGAGGGAAAAGCCAGAAATTTGATAGGACATCAACACCTAATACCACCTTTGAAATTAAACTACAAATGGATACATGAATTAGGTGTAAAGGAGGAATCAATAGCAAATCAGAGGAGCAAGGAAGAAATCAGTTTTCACAGCTACGGAGAGGGGAAGAGGTTATGACAGAACAAGGAAGATAGAGAATCACAGAAAATAAAATGGATAATTCTGCTTCAATAAAGTTGAAATGTTTTTGCATAAACAGATCCAATGCAGTTAAAATGAGAAGGGTAACAGTTAAGTGAGGAAAAACATCTTTGCAGTAAAGTTCTCTAAGGACTGTTGCATATGCAAGATATAGAAGGAACTGATTCCAGTTTCTAAGATTAAGAGTCATTCTCCAATAGGGCAATGGATATGAACAGGAAGTTTTCAAAGGAAGAAATCCAACCTATAAATAGCCCTATGACAAAATGCTCCAAATCCCTCATAATGAGAGAAGTGCACATTAAAACAACTCTTTTCTTTTAGTCTGCAAAGTAAACTAATAAATAAAAGTAGGATTTGGTTCTATGAAAAAACAATAAAATAGGTAAACCACTGGTTATTTGATTAAAATAAAAAGAAGAAAACCAAATTGGAAATGAATAGGGTGAATGCATAACCAATGAAGATGAAATTAAAGCAAGCATTATGAGGCATTTTGCACAATCATATGCCAGATCAACTGAAAATCTAAGTGAAATGGATGAATATTTACAAAAATATAAACTGTGCTTGTTAACAGAAGAAAATAGAATACTTAAATAACTCCATCAAAAAAGAGAAATTGCTCAAGGTATAAATGCATTCCCTAAGACAAAATCCCAAGGACCAGATGGATTTATAAGTGAATTCTACTAGATATTTAAGGAACAATCCATTCCAATACTATATAAATTTTTTGAAAAACTAGGTAAAGAAGGCATCCTACCAAAGTCTTTTTACAGCCAAAATATGGTTTTGATACCTAAAGAAGAGAGAACAAAAACAGAGAAAGAAAATTATAGACCAATTTCCTTAAAGAACAGCAAGGAACCATTTGAAATGAAATCCTAGGAAGGAGATTACAGCAGTATATCACAAAAGCCATAGACTATGAGCAGTGGGATTAACACTAAGAATGCAGGACTGTTTCAACGTTAGGAAAACTATCAGCACAACTGACAATATCAACAACAAAATCAACAAAAATTGTCTGATTATATCAAAAGATGTAGAAAAAAGCTTTTAACAAAATACAACTATTCCTATTAAAAACACTAGAAAGCACAGGAATCAACAGAACCTCCCTTATAATTATAAGGAATATCTTTAAAAAATCAAGAGCAAGCATTATCCATCATGAGAATAAACTTGAAGCCCTCTGAATAAGATCAGGAGTGAAACAAGGATGTCCATTATCACCACAATTATTCAATATTGTCCTAGAAATCCTAGCTACAGGCAGAAGGCAAGAAAAAGAAATTGGAAGAATAAAAATAGGCAATGAGGAGACAAAACTACCCCTCTTTGCACATGATATATGGTATGTTTAGAGCACCCTAGAAAATCAAATAAAAAAAAAAAACTAGTGGGGGCAGCAAGGTGGAGCAGTGAATAGAGCACTGGCCCTGAAGTCAGGAGGACCTGAGTTCAAATTCGGCCTCACACCAAACACTTGACACTTACTAGCTGTGTGATCCTGGGCAAATCACTTAACCCCAATTGCTCAGAAAGAAAAAAAAGGATTTGTTCTGTTAAAAAACAAACAAACCAACAAAAAAACTAGTGGAAACAACCACTTTAGCAACGTGGCAGGATACAAAATAAACCCACTTAGCATCAGGGTTTCTGCAATACTACCAACAAGCTACAACAACCACCTGCAGGAAAAGGTAGAAAGAAATTCCACTTAAAATAATTGCAAATAATATAAAATCCTTGGGAGTCTCCCTGCCAAGATCAATCCATGGACTGCATGAAAACAATGACAAAACCCTCTTCACACAAATAAAGACAGATCCAAACAACAATTTAAATGGGAAGAAGCACACACCAAAAACTTAAAAATACATGGAATAAAATGTGAAAGAACAAGCAGGACTGAAAAGGAAACATGAGAAGACGCCATCACCCTACCCCGTCCAGGACCTGAGAGGTCCACAAGTATTACCCACTCCACATTTTTTACACATGCATCAATCAGTTGTGCTCCATATTTTTCCCTCCCTAAAACAAAAATACAATTTGTTACATGGCATGTATCTCCAGGATGAGGAGAGGGACGGATACATGAGATATCTTGGTGATGTAAAAAACAGAAAACATCACTAAAAACATTTTTAAGGAGGCTAAGCATCTGGAGGATAATAATGGAGGGCAGAAGGAGGAAAGAAAGGGGTTACGGTGAATGACTATCAGTAGCAGAAGTTAAGCTATACTACAAATCAATGATTATGAAAACAATTGATCTAACTTATTCTAATTTCCAAGATTATGAGCCATTCTCCAATAGGGCAAAGGAAAAGGGCGTTTTCAAAGGAAGAAATCCAAGCTACCAGCAGCCCTATGACAAAATGCTCCAAATCCCTCATAATGAGAGAAGTGCACATTAAAACAACTCTCTTCTTTCAGTCTGTAAATCATGGAGATCCGCAGGTTCAGGGACTGTCCTCTCTTACTGTTCCACAATAAGATACATACATTGAAACGCCCCTTTCACCAGGTGCTGGTGGAAACCAGAACAAAAATAAATACACCATTAAATCTAAGGACACCAGAGGGAAGAGATGATATGGAGAAGGGGAGGGGAAGAGTTCCTAGACTGTCTCCTCTCTCCCCAGGCCTGAGGCCAAGCCAAGGATGAGAGGAAGGGAGGAAGAAAGGATGGAAACGTCCACCTGGGGAGGGGATGGGGGGAGTGTCCCCAAAGGCTTCTCCCTGCTGGCCTCCACCCCACGGCCCCCCAAGCCCCAGACCTCCAGACAAAGGTCTGGGCAGGCAGGAAGCCCCAGGCAGGAACAGCCCTGGAGGAGCAGCACCCACTAGTACACACACAAACATACGTACATACATACATACACACATACACAACACACACGCAAAGGTACTAATACTCCCACGATCCCCCCCCCCCATGCACACACACATGCCCCTGGGCACTAAGACAAGTCAATTTGTGGTGGGGGGAGTTTAGGAGAAGACAGAAGAGAGGGCCGAAGAGAATATAAGTGGGGGACGCAGAGGGGCAGGGCGGGTCTTGGCAGGAGAGGGAGGGGACGCTTACCTCCTACACAGCCACCCAGGAAAGTGCAGGAATTTCGGGGATCTCTCAGGTGACTGAGGGCGGGGTGAGGAGGAAGGAAGTGTGGTGCAGGCAGAGAAGGGCAGGGGGTTGGGGTAGGGCTGTTCTCCAGCTGCCCCCCACCCCGCCTCCAGACTCAGGGGAAAAGGGAACTCCCTCCTCCTCCTCCCCCTCCCCCTCCTCTTCCAGAGACAAAAAGCATTGACCTTGGTCAAGGGTAGCAGGGGCGGGTATAGTGACGTCACAGTAGCCACAGTGGAGTAGCCACTCAGAGCACAGGGAGAAGGGAGAAGAGAGGGCGGGGCTCTGTGATGTCAGGCACAGAGGAGTGAGGAGCTCCCTCCCCCCCAAGTCTTTTCTGTCAACTCCCATCACTCAGCCTGGCGAGGGGAGGGGGCCCCAGTCCTTGGAGGAGGACCCAGGACCGAACCAGGTCCCACTTTCCTGAGGGCAGCTGCTGGGGCTGGGCTGGATGGGGTGGGGCAGCTGAGCTAAGCTAGGGGTTGTCAGGGGTCAGTCTCTTTACCAATAACCTCGACATGGAGGGGAGGGATGGAGGGGGCAGGGTATCCTAAGCTCCACTTAAGGGAACAGCACAGTATCTGAAGCAGTAACAGCAGACCACCAGCCCCTGAATGGGACTTCGATTCCTGACAGCCCCCAAAGGAGAGCAGGAAAGGGGTGGTCTGAGGCAGGGGTGGTCTCAGCCTCCTTTCTCCCGGGCAGGGGGAGACAAAATCAGACCACGGGCGGCTACAGATATGGGGACACCCAGCCATGGATGCCTCTGTGCCCCTGATCATGCCTGGGCTGTAGGAAACTGGAGGCAATGGCTGTTTGGCTACTCCTCCCTTCAATACAGAAAGAGAGTTGAGGCAGAAGGTTGGGGATCCTCACAGGCTCCAGCATGCTGCCCTACCCACTAGGAACATGACCCAGGGGACCCAGAGCTCCCGAGAGGGCCAGGCATCTAGCCAGTAGTCCTAGAGGCAGAGAAAAAGGCGTCTTGACCAGATAGCTGCAGCGATAGGGACTGGATACCTGAGGACTCTGGGAGACTCCCAGAGAAGGAAAATCTCTCCACTGACACCTTCTCTGCCTGCAGTTTCTACTCTCAGAAACTTGCCTAAAGCATGGTGACCTTAGGTGACTCAGCCGCCTCAATAAATACAGACTTTAGGTGGTCAAGGGTCAAGGATCAGTCCAAACACTATCTCCCAGGGCATCCCTTCCCTGAGAAACTGGGGAGACCAATGACCATGCTCTTCTACTTGAATGAGAGAGAGGCAGTCACTTAAGAGGATCACCAAGCAAGTGAGTCCAACGAAATGGGCCAGCAACCAAGCCCACAGGCCATGCACCAGGCAGAATATTAATGTAGCCCACTGACAAGGACAAAACTTGGAGGAAATATGTACAAGAAAATGGGTAGTTTGAGCCATGAAGGATATTTGTTAATAACTAGCCAATTTTGGCCAAGACTTTACCAGTGTCAAATCAGAGAAGCCTAAGCATAGTGTAAAAGAAAATTTAACCTTGGAGCACACAAAAATCAGACATTGAGGGAGACTCTAGATGTAGTCTTTGTACAAGTAGTAGAGCTAGGACTCCAATCTGGCTCCTCTAACTCCAGATCCCACTATTCTTCTCATTGGACCATAGCCTCCATCCTGAACAAAGCCTCTGTTCCAAGTCTCTTATGTGTGTCCTCTATCTGCTGCCTCTTTACCCAGTCCTTACCTTAAGCCACCAAATGGGTCCAAGGGATCACAGGCTTAAATCTCTAGCTCAAAGCACCCTCAGAGTCCAGCTGGTCAAATACCCTTCTGCTACAGAGAAAGATGAAGCCCAGGGAGGTCAAGGGACTTGCTCCAAATCACACGTAAGATCAGAGATAGAGTTGGAAGGGACCTCAAAGGTGAACTAATCGAACCCTCTCCATTTAAAGGGAAAAAACTGAACACCAGAGTGGTGATGGGAGTTGTCTGTGGTCACACAGCTAGTAAGTGCCCACAGCTAGTCAGGTAGGATGTGAACCCAGATTTTCCTGATACAGAATTGAGGGGCGTATCAATTAGATTCTGCTGCATCTTATCCTCTTATCTGACTAGTATACCTTTATCTATCTAGATGTTCTAAGGCTAGAAGGGTGAGGGGTAAGTTTCTTTTTTAAATGTCAAAAAAAGTCACATAAAAAAACTATCTAATTTCACCACATGAACATTCAAAAGCCACTTATTGGCCTGAATTGAATTCTTTCATGAAATATCTGTCTATATCCTACTGTCTTTCTAATGTGAGAAGTCCTTATCCCAGTTTGACCATTTGCCAAAATGAGTTTTCAAGGATTTACACAACAGCTTAGGTTAAATGAGATTTCAACAGACATAAAAAACATCACTTCAGCACCAAAGACAATGGAAAGTTCTCCCAGATGTCCTCTCAGTAAACCACCTAATCTGGTAATACTCACATATGCATCAGAGGGAGCCCATGGGGATAAGGTAGCACAACCATGGACAGCTAGGTGGCACAATGGATAGAACAGGGGCCTGGAGTCAGGAAGACTCATCTTCCTGAGTTCAAATCTGGCCTCAGACACTTATTAGCTGTGTGACCCAGGGCAAGTCACCTAACCCTCATTGCCCGAGTTCCTCATTTATCAAATGAGCTAGAGAAGGATATGGCAAACCACGGCAGTATCTTTGCCAAGAAAACCCCAAATGAGGTCAAAAAGAGTCAAACACAACTGAAAAATGACCAGCCAAGCACAGTCATACTGTGGTTCCACAAAAACATTGTGTGTACCTTGGTCAGATGCACCCAGATCCACATTGGTTATTTGTCATAAATGTATGCTGTATCATCATCATAAAAACAACACACATGTTTTACAAAATCTAGGTCCAGGGAGATCACATCCCAGAAAACTTCATTTTTCCTACAGCTGCTTTGCTCTGTTATCAGAATAGTGAAAGGAATGGTCCAAAATACCCTTTCATTTCTTTTTCTCAGTTTAAAAACTATTGACAGTGAATTGGTAAAGGGCTGGTGCCGAATTCACCCAGGTATTTTTAAATTTCAATTCCAAGTCCTGTGTGATAGGACTAATGTGTACCAGTGTTTCTTCTCAATATGGGTTCCATCCATGCCTCTTCCTTCCCTAGTAAAATAGCATTTAATTTCCCCCAAAAGGTGACAAAGCTACTCCTGGGGCCCCAAGGCAATCTTTTCATACTTCTCTAATTAACTCACTATCCCACTCACCACATTGGCTCCTCAGAAAATTGTCATCCCTCCTCAAACCTCCCATGGTTTCTCCCCTACTCACCCACCCTCTCAGCTGAGAACCTTGTGTAATCGAAAGGATTAAGGACTGCACAGTACTTTCACTTTAGGTTTGGATCTCAAGATATAATGATACATACTCAGTATAAACTTAACAATCACATTTATTTTACAATGATTAATAATGATTAAAACAACACAAGCATATAAAGGTAAGAATAACATTCAATGCAATAAGTAATAATCAAAATTAAGAAAAGGAGGAATAAGAAAAGAAAGGATACACACTCACTGACCAGGAGAGCTCACATACCTATGATACTGGGGAGACTGGAGAAGATCAAGAGGTCTGATGAGGAGGCCAAAAGAGCAGTGTCCTGCTCTTAAACAACAAGGACAGTGCATGCGTTCCACCCTTGATCAACAACAACAGAGAATCGACGTCCCTATCTCTGACATCAAAGTACTCCAAAGAATCCCCTTTCAGATGCCCCTTTTATATCTATGTAATCCAGGGAAAAACAATCTTAACATTTTGTTTTGTGTACATATCCTTGGTGAGCTCAGGTCCTGGATACGCACACATTCTAGCAAAGGCGGGAGCTTGATCAGAGCCCCAAATACCTGTTTGTTGTGAAAGTCTCCAAGGAGTGATCAGGTCCTTGGACAGTTACATACCTCTCTCAAGAAAAATGTTCCTTGAGATCAGAATTGCTTTCCCAGGTAACATAGTTTGCTGGTTACTTAATGTTCCATCTCCATGGTAACCTCAGCCATACATATTAACTCCACTGTACATTCTTTATGTCAGGTCATGAGGTGGTTTCACAAGCGGCTAGGGAAGATCTTCCTCAGTTAACCTCACACCTTGCCTCATATTTTACTGAAAATATTGAGGTCATTCCACTAGAGCTCCTTCTTCTCCCCTCCTCTTCCTCCCACATCACTCAGATGCCTTCTGCCACTGTCTACTCCTCCAGCTCTGTCCCACACATAGAGATATGCTTACTCATTACTGAGCCAAATCCTTCTCTACCTGGACAAGTTGTCCCCTTCCAGACCATTTTCTCCAGCAGACTACTCCCTCTCTCATCCCCATTCTCTCACTTCAGTATCTCCCTGTGTACTGGATGCTTCTCCCCTGCCCACAAACAAGTCTATGTATCCCCCATCCTTAAAAAGTCTCTCCCTGGGTCCATCCATCCTCTCTAATTATCCCATAGATCACCTCCCTTTTGTGGGTAAACTCCTTGAAAAGGCCATTTACAATAGTCACCTCTATTTGCTTTCCTCTCTCTTCTTAGCTCTCTAGTCTACCTTCTACCCTCATCATTCAACTGAAACTTCTCTCACAAATATTGCTAACCATCTCTTGGATGCCAAATCTAATGTCCTTTTATTAATCCTCACCTTTCCAGATCACTTTCCAGCCCTTACCACTTGTTCACCCTTCTCTTGAAACTTTTGTCTCTCTGAGTTTTTGTGATATTATTCTCTCCAGGATCTCCTTTTAATCAGTCAACAAACATTTAATAAGTGCCTATTGTGTGCCAGGCACTATACCAAGCACTGGAAATACACGGAAAGGTAAGCGACAGCACTTGCCCCAGAGCACCACACCATGGCCACACCATCTCATTATCTTTAGCTAGATCTTCATCCAGGTCATTCCTGGTACCCATGAGTGTCCCAGGGGCTTTGTCCTAAGGAGCCTTCCCTTCTATGTCAATACTATTTCACTTGGTGCTCTCATCAGTTCCCATGGATTCAATTATCATCTCTATGCAGATGATTCTCACATCTTCTTGTCCAATCCAAACCTCT